CATTTGTGTGTAGGATATCCACATAGAAATATCCACATTTGTCTGTTGCACACCTGTAGGTGCCACAAAAGAAGCCCAGTCTTGTATCAAGGAGCTGTCCCCAAAGATGCAGAGCTGCAAGTGGAAAACTTCCCTTCTTCACTTTTAAAATATCTGGGGTTCATCCTTTTTTATTTCTTTGAACAGGAAGCACCTTCAGTGTGTCTTGTTCATTGAGCACTCTCCAGAATTGCTCACAGCAGGACTGTGTGGTGTGAAACATTCTCTGTTTGAATTCCAAAGCCAAGCGCAGTTGCTGTTAACAGGAGCGATGGGTAAGAAGGAAGGAGAGAGCCATCCAGTGGAGCCCTTTGCTGCTCGGGAGGATGGAGTGCAGAGCTCACCTTGCAGAGCAGGCTGCTGTGGCAATCAGCCGTGCCCTTGAGCTGTCCCATCCATCCCACTCCCACTTCTCTGGAGAGCTGCTCTTCCCAAGGTGCAGCTTTGTCTCAAAGAAATACCAGCTTGTGGCAGTGTGTGCAAGCAGCCCAGCACACAGAGCAGGGAGCAATTCCCTCAGCAGCAAACAAGGAAAGCATTTCTCTCATTTACCCTGGATATACTCCAAGAATTCTCTGTTCAGTTTAGTTATTATCTTTCCCTACGGTGTGGAATATTCAATTAAACTTTCTCTCAAATTGGCCATAACTTTCAATGGAAATTAAAGCAGTTCTATTTAGGTACCAGGATCTGTCACCAGGCTTAATGTTCAGAGAGAATAGCAATGGTTCCACCTGTTTGGTGTGAATTAACCTCAGCTGACATTGCTCACGTTTCAATTCCTCAAAAGCAGGGGAAGCTGACAGCATTCAGCATCCAACTGCATGTGCTGGCTCTCAGCTTTGGGGTACTGCAGGGACACAGCAAGTACACCCTTCATTTGGAATCTATTCCAATTAATCTGGCTTTTTTTTTTTTTTGAATAGGTTTTGTAATTCACGAGGGGGGAAAAAATATATATTGAGCAGAATGTTCTTTGAAATGATCTCTCACTTTCCATCCAGCACCATATGGACACACACCTCCTTCTGTGGTTAAAATGCTTCTTTTATTGTCAAAGCCACTGAAATTTCCTAGATCCTGCCTCTGAGGGAAAGAAACACACTTCTGTCAGAGGAGGCAGACCCAGAGCAGGAGTACATTTGTTTTATCTGACAAGGAGGGGGAAAAATGCTTTTTTGGAAGCCAATCTTGTTTGCAGGTTGTCTTAAGCTGAGGGCGGCTCGTGTTCGTTCTGGGTTAACTCATTTAAGAAATGTAACTCAGAAAAATAAAATCTGCCCCTGGGAGTGTCCCACCAGTTAGTTTGGCTGGGAAAGTTATTTATTTTATTGTCCTGGGGCGGTGGGAAATGTGTGAGGAGTGGCAGCAGCTGCTGAATGGTGTAAAGGGGAACTGGACCAAAATACCTGAGCACCTTCAGGTGTGTGCACACACATATGCACTGCTTCTTGTTCTTTCTTGATGAAATGACTGAAACAGAGTCTGTTAGACACAATCTGATGAGAAGGGTGAGGGAAAAAGCCTCTGAGCACAGCAAAGAGCCTCCTGCTGGCATCAGTGCTTTCTGTGGTGCTCGCAGTGCTCACCCCTGATAAGCCAAAAATGTGTTATCAGTGGTGGAGCGCAAGTCCCTGGACATTGCTGCAACAGAAAGAAAGTTTCCACTTTGAATTTATTAAAAAAGTGTAGAATTTGCATTTCAGAGCAATCCAAACAGCAAAACTCTGCTCCCACAAAAACAGACACTTCAGTGGAGCAAAAGCCTTTGGCTGTGCTGACAATGAACATCTGAGCAACACAACTTGGTCCAAAATGGGCTTTTTCTGGGGCAAGCACTTGTGGTTTCCTGTCTGCACGAATCTAGATGGCAGCTTGTTTTATTTATTAGTGACTCTTCAGTGCTCTGTGAGGCAAATCCTCCTCCTGTGGCAGGTTCTGTGGCTCAGCCCTTATCGCCCAGTGGTGGGATCTGGGCTGCAGAGATTTCAATCACACGTTAAGGCTGCAGCAAAGCAGCTCCACAGGCTGAAGATTAAATAGTTTGGGCTTGCATATCTTGGCTATACACAGGCAGCAATAAGAGGAAGAAGAAAGGCACTCAAAATAATTTTATCTAGCCGGTGTTGTGAGGTTTTTGCTGCTCCTCTGCTCCCCTGGCAGGCTGCAGCTGCTCTCAGAGCTTCTCCCTCTGCTTGAAAATCACACCAGGGTTTTTCCTCTTGCTGCCCAACAGGAAGGGCAGGCATTTTTTGCCATGTAAAAGCTGAATGTTGAACGGTGTCAGCAGCAGGTGGAATATGTGGAAATGTTTTCATTTGATCTTTCATGAGCTTCCACCTGAGCTTGGGTAAATTGAGTTATTCAGTGGAAAAATCAGCGGGTTTTGTGACTATTTCCACCTTTAGTTCTCTGTCTTGAGTCTGTGTTTTTTAAGTTGTTAATTGCTCAGTAATTAATGGCACAGACAGGACGGGGTGGTTCAGTTCATTAACCCTTGAAGAGCAGGGTGCTGCAGGTTCTGTGTTTTTTAAGTTGTTAATTGCTCAGTAATTAATGGCACAGACAGGACGGGGTGGTTCAGTTCATTAACCCTTGAAGTGCAGGGTGCTGCAGGTTCACCTCTGCTCCTGCAGCCAGGTGATGTCCTGCAGGTGTGGGGACACCTTTGGACCCTCTGGTTTGTTCCTGTTTCCCACCTGAAGTACCTGAACCGTTCACTTTTAATGCAGGCTGTGTTTTCCTGGGATGGGAGGAGGACCAAAGTCAGACCTTGGGTGTGATGTGATATAAATTGACATTCTCTAATTGAAATAACAGCAGGTGACAGCGCAGAGCGGGGTGTGAGGCAGGTGACAGAGGCAATCACACACATCCCTGAGTCAGCACGCCCTAACTGCATTATCTGGGATGCTCGTGCCACCATCAGACTCTGAGCTCCTGGCATTTGAGGCATCTCTCACACAGGACCTGAGCATTTGTGCATTTTCCACTGAGAAAACTGGATACATTCAAATATATTTTAAATCTCTTGCTTTCAAAGCCACCATACAGTTCTCAGAGCTACAATCCTTATGGGCCAGGCTATAATATTCTTTCTTAGGGTGAATGAGGCTGCTCAGGGAGTGCAGGGTCTCAGGAACAAGTCTGGATGCCATAATCCAGTCCCTTATGCTTTGTGGCTGTTATTATCTTTTCCCACCAGCAGCACGAGTTGCACACAGGTGTAATTTAAAGCTGGAGATGATGTGAAATGTGTTTTGAATAATAGATGAGTTTCAGTCAGGTATCGTTAGCATATAATTAAAAATACAGATAAATACAAGGCCTGTGACTGTGCTTGTGGTGGGGACAGGGGTGATTCCTTTCTAATCTTCCTGGCAGAGTCTCTGTGAAATACTGTGGAGAGGAATTTGCTCTCCCTGAGTGAAGGGCTGTTGTGTCCTTGGTCAATCCAGCTGATTTCCCAGGGTCAGGCAATAGCAGGGTTATTCCCATTCATTCTCACCTTCCTTCCATCTGGAAGATCCATCATCTTCTGTTCACTCTTTTTATTCCTCTATATTTTTTGTACATCCCATCATCTCTAAATGTTGTTTATTCATTTTCCCCTGACCTCCCATACCCACAAATTTCCTGTATCCCATTCTGGGTGGGCTTCCAGCAGCCTGAGTGAAGTGAATTCTGTGCTCACATCCCTGCAAGTCTGAAAGAACAGAGTCTGCAGGGCAGCAAACGATTGGAAAAGGATTTAAAAATGTTAAATCAAGGCTCCTTCCAGTCCCTGTCTGACTGTGAGCACTTCCAGTGTGTCCTCACTTGCTCTGAACTTGGAGGAGCAGCCAGACATTGACACTGATGAGAGGAAAAGTCTCAGTGAAATCAAGATAACTGATCTTTTCAGGCAGGAAAAGTTGGTTTCTTTTGTGTTCTCAACAGCCACTGTGGGAGATGAAGCTGATACAAACAGGATGGAGAGCGGGGAGCTGAGTCAGAGCTTTCGGTGGGTGTTTGGAGCAGTGTCAGTGAATTCCCTGAAATTCTGCAGAGCAGTGGGCAGGGAAGGGCTGCACCTCAGGGATGGGGCTGTCAGCAGCTCCCAGGGCTGAGAGAGGATAAATTGATAAGGTGAAGTGCTTGAGGAGAAAGGAAAGGAGAAAGGGAGGACTTAACAGCTCCAAAACTCAGAGAGTATTTATAAAGTGAAGGAGGAAAGTCAGCTCAAGGGAGGCTCCCGTCAGTAATCACCAACCTCAGAGTGCTGGGAAATGATCCTGAGCTCCTGGAAGGTCGTGTCAGCTCGTTTTGCCCAAATATTTCCCCTCTTCTACCCGTATCTAGTGTGATTTTTTAATGCTCTGAAGGACACAGGAGTGGAATGTCCTTGTCAGGCTGGGGGCCCATTCCTGGGAGGTGTGGGGCAGTGCCAGGGGCACTGGGATTTGAATTGAGCTCTGCTGTGACAGCAGGCCCTGCTCCCATTGTTTGAACTTTGGGTGAGGTTCCATTCTGTGCTCTGTTCAGTGTAGGGCATTTTCATTACTCCAGGTGAGCTTCAGTGGGAAAATAAAATAAAATCTGCCGTTATCAACTGAATGAAGTGACACCAGGTTCTTTCCCAAGGTGAATGGCACACGGCCTCTTGCTGCTGAGACTCTGTTTTGTATTTCAAGCCTGGAAGATGGAGATTCCCAGTGTGACCTGTCCCCTTTCCCTGTCCCTGCAGATGACAACACCCTGCACGGGCCAGTGTTCCTCCAGGAGCCCGACAGCCTCATCTTCCCCTTGGACTCGGAGGAGAAGAAAGTGAAGCTGAGCTGCGAAGTGAAGGGAAACCCCAGACCAACCATTGGGTTTGTTCAGTGTTTGTTCTTGGAGCCTTTCTGTGATCAGCTGTGCCCGTGTTCACAGGGGTCTGAGGATGAGGGAGGAGACGAGGATCTGACTCCATGTTTCAGAAGGCTGATTTATTATTTTATGATATATATTACATTAAAACTATACTAAAATAATAGAAAAAAGGATTTCATCGGAAGGCTGGCTAAGAATAGAATAGGAAAGAATGATAACAAAGGTTTGTGGCTCGGCTCTCAGTCCGAGCCAGCTGACTGTGATTGGCCTTTAATTAGAAACAACCCCATGAGACCAATCCCAGATGAACCTGTTGCATTCCACAGCAGCAGATAACCATTGTTTACATTTTGTTCCTGAGGTCTTTCAGCTTCTCAGGAGGAAAAATCCTAAGGAAAGGATTTTCCATAAAAAAAGTCTGTGACAATCATTGATGTCCCTGGAGGTTGTCACAGTGCTGATCCCAAAAAAATCTCCAGGGGCAGCTCTGATCCTGCTCTGTGACCAGGGACAGGGTCCAGGGAGGGGCTGGAGCTGGTCCAGATGGATTTAGGGTGGATTTATGGAAAGGCTCTTCCCCCAGGGCGTGCTGGCACTGCCCAGGGAATGGGCATGGCCCCGAGGCTGCCAGAGCCCAGAAGGGTTTGGAAAACCCTCCCCAGGTGGGATTTGGGGTGTCCTGGCCAGGATTTGGACTTTGCTGGTCCTTGTGGGTCCCTTCCAGCTCAGGATGCTCTGTGATCCTGGGGCATTACGAACAGAGGGAATGGACACCAGGAAATCTCCAGGTATTGCAACTCAACGGCAAACCTTGGACAGGAGTTCTAAAGTGCTACAAAAGGATCATGAATAGTCCTGGCTCTCAGATTAACCATCCTTTCCTACAAAAAATGGACAATACTCCTCATTCTTTTCAGTTTTAGCAGCTGCTTTGGGATCCTTGGAGGAAGGAGCTGCTGTAAATCATTGTAAATCAATCTCCTCTCCCCTCTGGTGCTCTCACTGTGCTCACCAGTAAATGCCACTGTGAAACCAGTGAGAGCCACCAGGGCTCTGCCTCTGTGCCATCTCCAGCCACAGCCAGCTGTTTGGTGCCATAAACCCACGGATCCATGGTGCAAACACAGCTCCAGAGCTTCCCTGGGCACTCAGGAGCTGGAATTCCTCAGTGCCCACTTTGTGACATCTGCCAGGAGGGAATTTTCTTAAATTTACAAACAAACAACCAGCAAGTGGGGAGAGGGGGGGAAAATATCCTCAGTGGACCTGAATGGGTTGGAGATCCTGTGTCAGGGACTTCCCCTTGCCAAGGGATCAATTCCAAAGAGCAGCAGCACCAGCAGCTACAGGAGCATTATTCATTTCAGAGACTGAAATATATGTCAAGGATATTGCTCTTGCAGTTAAACACTGGAATATTTCAATACCACTCAGGAAATTTGCATTTTTCTGCTGTCTTTTTTATTATTATTATTTTAATAAGTAGTCAGAGCCACTCTAAATCTTCCTTTACTTACTCCAGGCTGTGTTTCCAAAGAGCCGGGAGCACCAGCAGAGTTTAACGTTGGCCTTGTGTGCTGCAGGTGGAGGTTAAATGGGAGCAGCATTGACGTGGGCATGGATTTCCACTACAGCCTGCTGGGAGGAGCCCTGCTGATCCACAACCCCAACAAGAGCCAGGATGCTGGCACCTACCAGTGCGTGGCAACAAACCCCTTTGGCACCATTGTCAGCAGAGAGGCCAAGCTGCAGTTTGCCTGTAAGTCAGAAGGAAGCCGCTGTTCCTGTGCTGGAAAAGTTGGCAGCTGGGTGTCTTTTTCCAAGATGGGTTATGGGGTGTTCTCTGTGGGAAATGGGTGTGTGGAGAGTTGTCAAGGGTGAGAGCATTCATGCAGTGTGCGTCTGTGTGCAAATTTTTTGAGATAAAAAATGCTGATTTAGAAATGCCATGGAAGAGGATGGGCATTGTGGAGAGAAATGGAACTAGAAAAAGTTTCAAAGGATGGCCTTGCAAATAAGACTGGATACACTGGAGAAATAGAACTGTGAAAGATGCGTTGTAGTGAGACCCATGAGGGGTAATTTTAGATTATTGGCTTTGAGGCATCTGCAGCATGGTGTGGCTAAAGCTGATAGACCAAGAAACACTTATAGTGTCTTCTCTAACCAAAGGGGGATGGCAACCAGAATTAGCTGAATTAGGAAATACAGGGTGATTTAAGTGATTTAAGTTTACTACAAAGGCTCTGTCTCTGAGAAACAATAAAAATGTGAAGCTTCACCCTTCATCTGGGCAGCCCCTTATTTTCCATCCTCATCTTGTGTTATGTGGGTTTTATCTCATTTTTATTTCTGAGGAAACGACTGTTGGGTTTTATTTTGAGAATGATGGGTGAGATTTGAGGGCTTTCCCCCCTCCTTTTAAGAGTTAAATTGCGACTCTTGGGGCATCAGTAATGGGTGTTGTTCTTCAAGGGCTGTGATATTCTTCTGTAGCCTTTTCAGGGAAGATTAAGCTGTGATTGAGCCATTCAGCCTCCTGTGGAGGGCAGACAGGGTCAGCAATTTCATCCTTGAAATATGTATTTAGGTTACAAACTCATTATGATAAAAGTGCTAATATTTCCCCTGAATACTTGCTTTTTGATATGGCATTTTCATTTCAGGTTTTTCCTTTTTGATTTTTTCTTCCTCTCTCTTTTTCCCTTTCTCTTCTCACTTTTATTTCTTTTTTTTTCTCCACGCTAGTTGTCTCTGAAATTGAACATATTTTCACCGAGTGAGGAATCTGCTGTGCCACAGTAACAGAATATGGATTAATGATACCCCGAGCCCTGTGCTTATAGCAACACAGGCTTTCAGAAAATAAAAAAGCTTTAAACTCTTGAGTATGGATCTAATAATGGCTTTTCCACAAAGATCTACGGAAACACAGCTGAACTAGATTAAATTATGTGCTTTTTATTTTAGGGGCTGGGGCTTAGCTCCAGCTAAGCTGAGTTCCCAGCCCCTCTCCAGCCTCTGGATGTGCTCAAGCTGCCCATGGAATAATGCATGGGATGGAACATCTCCCAGGAGCTGGGAGTTGTTCTGTCACTCTCTAAATTAGGGATCTCTTATTGGATCCATACTCAAGAGTTTAAAGCTTTTTAATTTTCTGTGTTGCTATAAGCACGGGGCTTGGAGTGTCATTAATCCATATTCTGTTATTGTGGCACAGCAGATTCCTCACTCGGTGAAAATATGTTCAATTTCAGAGAAAACAAGTGTGCAAAAAAAAAAAAAAAGGAAAATTTGGGGAAGAGAAAGGGGAAAAGACAGAGGAAGAAAAAATTCCCTGGGAGGAGGTGGTGGCAAGGTGAGGGTTGGTCTCCTCTCTGAGGGAACAAGTGACAAGTGATAGGACAAGAGGAAACGGCCCCGAGTTGCGCCAGGGGAGGACATCAGGAAAAGTTTCACAGAACCAAGCACAGAACCAAGCCTCTGCCAAGAGGTGACCCCTCTCTTGTCCCATGGAGCCATCCCCAGTGCTCACAGATGAAACATTCCCTCCCTGCTGTGATAACCTGACTCAATTTGGCCCTAAACACCTCAGCAGGGTTTGCAGTTTAACCTGGAAATTCACGGAGCTGCTGGCAGCTGCAGGGTGCTGCTTTGGAAATGAACCCTGTGGGAGCTGTGCAGGAGCTGCTGCCTTTCCCAGCTCACTGGTGGCTGTCGCGTGCTGTTGGTTTGGAAATGGGTATCCAAAGAGGAAAATCAGCTTTGAATCAGAGCTGGTTTTCAGCCATATCATTGCTTTGCCCCCTGTTGTTACAGAAACTGCCTGCAAGTGATGTGTGTGGAACAGGAGCTGTTAGAGAAATGGGATCTGTTTTCAGGGGGGTTTATTTGAGGGAAGGATGAGGGGAGGATGGCTGATGTCCTTCCCCTGCTCTGCGCCCAGAGGCCTCTCTGAAATCCCTTTCCAGCCCATGGCCATTTCCCAGGAAGGAGTTTCCCTGGAATCTCTGACTTAGCAGATCCTGCTCATGCTGTGGGTGTTCTCTGCAGCTGGACAAAGGAATGTTGGGATGTCCAGGGGCTCAGGGACCAATTTCAGACCAAGGGGAATGGAGGGTAATGAGTCTGAAGGGAGGTGTGCTCCGAGGATGCTGCAGCATCACTGTGCTGCCCCAGGAGGTTAAAAGGAAGGGGAAGGGTCTCCTTGTTCTCTTCCTCCTCCTCCTCATCCTGCAGGTGTCCCCAGACAGGTGGAATGTCTGATTTTCTGGGTGGAACTGAGCTGAGCTGTTTCACTGTGTCCTCAGTGCCTGGAAATCAGATTTTTGGCTGCTTTCCTCTCTGGGCAGGGGCGCAGCCTCCACCCTGCCTCTGGTGCCTTTTCCATTGGGTTGTTCATGAGGGTGATCCCTGGGATCCCTTCCTGCTCTGGATGTTCTGATTCCATTCCAGGAACTCTTTTCTTTCTTCCTTGCTCCCGTGAACCTCCTCTGAAGTGAAGGGAGTCACACTGTTGTTTCTAAATCTCTTCCTCACACACACTTTATTAAAAGAATTCATTTTATAGGAAAGTTTTTTCCTTCAAAAATAATTGTTGAACATGAATTAGCAGCCAGGACCCAGCACTTCACAGGGCAAGGAGTGGCAGAAAATCCTGTAATAATGTGGTTGCAATGAGAACACTTTGGGGCTTTGACCTACCATCCCAAAATAATTTCACTGTGGTGGTAGAAAGAGAAAATTACTCCCAACATCCCACTGAAAAGGGCTTTTTTCAATATTCCCATTGCCAGAATGTTTGCTGTTATATCTCTTACTCGAGTAAATCCCATAATTTTCACTGTTAGTTGCTAAGGAACACATTGTAATGGCTGCTCAAAGTCTTTCCTGGTGAACCCTCACTGAACTCCAGAACATTCATTTTATCTTTTGGAGACTAAATTGTCAAGGAAGTCTCTTTCAAGAACAATTAATAATGAAAGCATTTTTTTGGAGGGGTCTGCTCAATTCCAAACAGCCAAACCCACAGTGATCCATGTGTTCAGCAAGAAATGGAAAAATTTCCACAGGGATCACTGAAATCTTGGGGTTGGTAAGAGATGATTGTTGTGGTGTTGGGAGGGTCCCCAGGATGAGGTGAGAGATGAGAATTTGACTCCAAGTTCTCAGAAGGCTGATTTATTATTTATATTATCTTAAAAGAAATTATATACTGAAACTATACTAAAGAATGAGAAAGGAGACATCAGAAGGCCAGCAAGGAATGAATAATAAAAACCCGTGACTGACCAGAGTCCTGACACAGCTGGACTGGGATTGGTCATTAAATTAAAACAATTCACATGCTGGGTAAACAGTTCTCCAAATCACATTCCAAAGCAGCAAAACATGGAGAAGCTGAGGTTTCCCAGGAGAAAAAATCCTGCCAAAGGGAATTTTTTATAAAATATCCTCTTTCTTTCCCTTTTATCTTTCCCCTTTCTTTCCCTATTACTTTTTTTCCCTTTTCTTTCCCTTTTTTCCCTTTTTTTTCCTGTTTTCTTTCCCTTTTTTTTTTCTCTTTCCCCTTTCCTTCCCTTTTTCCTGGCATTTTCATCAGTGCATTGCCTCCCACACAATTCAGAGATAAAACTCCCAGCCAGCCACTGCAGCTTGCAGACACCGAGGGCCCACAAATCTGCTTTAAAATCATTACATTTCCTTAGTTTTTCTTACATCTTCAGAAATTGATTTCCTTACCATGACCCAATTTCCCCTGCACTCCCCATCTCACTCCTCCTCTCACCGAAGCCTCCGTGCATTTGAAGGGTTTTGCTGTGACCTGAAGCTGTGTGAATAATCTGCATTTTGGAGCTGGAATGTCCAGCCCTGCCCCTTGCAGAGACCCCAGGTTTCCCCAGCCCCACTGGGGTGTGCTTGGTATAAATGGCATTTTTCCTTGGAAAGGCACTGGAGGAGAATCAGAGGTTTGACACTTGGAGCTGTGAGAGCAGCCTGGCTGGGGCATCCCCAGTTCTTCAGTTTTGTGATTTCCTACCAGATGTGAAACCCCTGATTCCTCCTGCAGTGCCTTTCCAAGGAAAAATGCCATTTATACCAACCCCAGCCCTGCTGCCTCACCCAGAACCAGCCCCTCACCTGCCTGTGCCCCCAAACACACTTTATTAAAAGAATTCATTTTATAGAAAGGTTTTTTCCTTAAAAAACCCCCTTTTTTTTAAGAAAACCCCCTTTTTTTGGAAGGAAAACCCCCAGCCCCCAGGACTGGGGCTGCTGTGACCTTAACTCAGGAAGGAGTACATTAAATTGTATTTTCCCATATGTCCCCACACGCCAGGGTTTCTCTGTGCTGAAATCCTGGCACAGGGCAGGATCAGTGCTAGAGATGAGCTCCCAACCTCTGCTCCTTCCCCACAGTCCCTGCTGGGTGGAAATCTAGGCTAAGCCTCACGTAAGCTCCTCTTTTTTCCCCTTTCTTTTCCTTTCCTTTTTCTTTTTTATTTCTGATGAATGGGACCAACAGGGAGTTTGCAGCAGAGGATGGATCTATAACCTACTTTACTTTCACCTGGGATAGAAGGACCCTTCAGTCAGAGCAGAAATGGAGGATTTTTACCTGCTTTGTTTCCCCCTCCCAGGGTTATAAATAAACTGAATTCATTATTGCTTAAAGCAGTGGCACTTGGAAATTGTCAGTTGTTGTCCTAAAGCTGGGAATCTCCTCAGCCTGCAGTTTTTTGAGAAGTTGTTTTGGTT